ACATTACATGTGAAACATCCTGGGTTCTATCCCTAGCACCACATAAACTAGTCATAGTGGTGATACATGCTTGCTTGCAATACCAGAACTTGGGAAGTATGAGCAGGAGTTTAAGGTCAGCCTAGGCTGTGTGCTATTTTTAAAATATGGTCTCACTTATGTAGCCCTGGCTAACCTGGAACACACTATGTAGACCAGACTGGCCTCAAACTTACAGAAATCTATCTGGAATTAAGTGTTGGGAATTAAAGATACCTGGCTATGGCATCTTCAGGAAAAATAGTTACATAGGAGGAAACATTTCCTAATTCACTTTAGGCTTTACACTCATTTCTTTTTTTTCTTTTTTTCCCCCTAACTGCCTGACTCCAAATTCACTTTATTCTAGTTTCATGAAAATGAATCCTGGCCCTCTGCCAGCTGGCATACTTGGAGTTCTTGTCGGTGAAGTATTAGTAAGGCACCACAGGACTCGGGCTTGCTTCCTGATTCCACAGCATGCATGTCTCTAGCTTGAGGAGCCTGTCTGGGCTGTGCTCATACAGGGCACATGTGGTCTGGACTCTGTAACAGCTTCCCCAGAAACACCCTTAGGCAGTTTTCACAGTTACGTACATCTGGCAAGACACTTCCCTCTGTAATTTCTCCAACAGCTAGAGGGCAGACTTCTAGTAAGTTCTGCTAGAGTCTTACCAGTGCCTCCTTAAACATTTAACAAGTCCCAGCTACACCTCTCCAAGTTTTGATTTCTCAGAAGTAGGTCGGGAGACTCTTCCTTGATCTTCTAGAATAGTCGTGCAGCAGTTTTGGAGAACTATAAAGGTAGGAGGTCTCCCAAGGATACTCTAATCTCAACCCTAGCATTAGTAATTATAGTAATGCTATGCTTGTTATTCTATCTAGTCCTCATATATTTATATATATTCCTTAGTTTCCCTTATTTCCATTACTCCTACCCATTAAGGAATTCTTCATACTAAATTTTCCTTGTACAAAATATCTGTGTTCTTGCTAATAATAATAATTAAGCCTAGCCTAATAATGAATTGCTATCAAAAAGATCCTAGAGAGGCAACTCAAGAGAAACCCACACTAGCATATGGGAACTGTGAACCAAACGCCTTCAGACTGAGCACAGTGCTCTTTACAAATGGGAAATGAGCTGCTAGCAATGTTTGGCAGGCAGGAACATCACAATCAAGCTACGTTCTCTGATTCATAAAGTACCAACTGACACAAATGTTTGAAGTCTCAAGTGACTGCTGCACTGTGCTAGCAATAAAGATGACCTGCAAAACAGGGACTGGGTGAATTCTTGCCTTTTTACTTGTGCCTACAAAGAAAACTGCAAGCTCAGGTGCATTAAGTTTCAGCACAAGTTGCTCTGAGAACCAGAGGGCTTCCCAATAGCTCTACAAAAGTTGATTTCTTATAATCTTATGACAGATACTGCTGAATATCAGCTGTGAAGAATTCTATGATAACTGAATCTTATGTCTCTCATAGGCTACTTGGACCCCTCCCAGCTGAAGCAGAAGCAGCTTGCCCTAAAGTCTATAGAAATAAGCTTCCCTCTGCTTAAAAATCACAACTTGTCTGGATGATTGTTTGAAATATACTATCTTCCTCTACATTCACCACAGCCATATTCAACTAGCACTAGGCTCACAGCCAGGGTCAAGTGTCAGCATGATCTGAGCAGGCACAGACACACAACCTAAGGGCTTGTGAATCAAGCTGGGAAAAATGTGTAGGCAAAATACGGTGGAGTGTCAGTGTGGAATAAACGCTATGCTATAACCATATCTAGTAATAGACTAGATTCATATTTGCCCTCGGGGTAAATCTTTCAAGCATTGCTGACAAACAGTGCATAAGGAACAAGAGATACACACAATACTATAAACTGAAGTAATTTAAAACATGCATGCAAAACATCAATATAGGACTAGGGATGTAACTTGGTAGAGTGTTTACCTAGTATGAACAAAGCCCTGAGTTCTAGTCACTTTATAAACTGGGTGTGGTAGTATAATCCTAGCACATTAGGGAGGAAAGAATGGGGGGATCAGCAGTTCAAGGTCAGCCTGTTATGTGAGACCTTGTCTCAAAAATATCAATATGAGGGCTGGGCCAGGCATGGTGGCACACACCTCTAACCCCAGCAGGCAGAGGTGGATCTCTGTGACTTTGAGGCCAGCCTGGTCTACATAACCTGTCTCAAAAAAAATTTAATAAGATCTTACACAAAAGGACATACATTGTATTAAAACAGTTCCTAATGGGGGCTTGTGGAGGGAGGAAAGCAAAACCAGAATGAGAACGCTATGTGAAATAATTATAACACAGTTAAAAAAAATGAGAGGATGACTAACCCAGAAGAAAAACACTCAGCTTATAAGAACTTTCAGTCCCTGACAAAAGGGAAATCTAACATAAGGTACTGGATCACTTCCCCAAAGCCCAGTCCTGAAGATAATACAAGAGGAAAATTGATGGAAAATAATATTTAATAATTATGCTGGGTGGCTGTGGCAACTGCCTTTAATCCCAGCACTGGGAAGTCAGAGGCAGGCAGATCTGGGTTCGAGAACAGTCTGGAATACAGAGCTTGTTCCAGGACAGCCAGGGATACACGGGGAAACTGTCTCCAAAAAACAAAAAGCAAAGCAAAACAAAAAATATGTACCATTTACTATGAGCCAAGCACAGGAATTCAATCATTTCCACCTCTGGGATACATATTACCAACCCTCTTTACAGGTGAGAAATCAACTACAGAGGTTAATTTTCCCCATGTTCCACAAGTGGTGATGCTGAAACTGGAATTTAAAATCACTGAGAAATGCCTAGAGATAGGCAACAGAGACTCCAGCACGGAGAGGGGTATCCTACTATGACTACCACCATGGATATAGGAGGCTAGGGAAGAAATTATGCATACGTGTCCTGTCCCCAACTTAGTGTTGGGAAGACCATTCCCTACTCCATCATCACTGTAAGCCAGCAAACAGAACTGTCAAGTCACAGTAGTACCGAATCATGGAGCGTGTTACATGGGTCACACAATCTTAGACCCTCAGGCATTGGGTATATCCTTCAAGGCAAGGATCTGCTGGAGCCTTTCTTAGGGAATCTGACAAACTCAAGAGAGAAAAAAAAATTCTCTCAGGCACAAACCCCAGATTTGTAAAACATGTTAAGACATACTTTCAGAAATCATTTCTATGGTTCATTAGAATGTATTATTTTCATTTGAAGCCTAGGATATGCAAGTCCCACATGCACATGTGCTAGTCAGAGAACTTACAGGAGGAGTCCATGCTCTCTTACCATGTGGATCCTGAGGACCAAACTCAGGGTGTCAGGCTTGCTGGCAAAGGCTTCTTTACCTGCTAAGCCATCTCTACAGTTTTGTTTTTTTTTTTTTGAGATCAAGTCTCATGTAGCCCAGGTTGGCCTTAAACTTCCTGCATACATCACCATGCCTAGTTTATTCAGTGCTAGGGACTAAAGCCAGGACTTTGTACTTGTTAGGCAGGCTGAGTATAGATTGTTTAATATAGATGTATATACACATGAGTGGGAAAGGAGGATGTGGTCTCAGAACTAGAAAGGGAGCTATGAGGGAGATAGATCTTAAGTGGGGGTTAATAAAAGGGGAATAACAAGAGGGCTGCAGCAGGGATAGAAGAGAGAAACAACAAAACAAAGTGATTGTAAAGATTCCACAAAGAACCCCATTACTTCCTGTGACAGTTACCATGAATTCTAAGAAATGGGTATCAGGAGTTCTCCAACAAATTCCCAGTGTCAAAAAGCCTTCAGAGCATACATGTTAACCCCCTACTCAGTTTTCCTTTCTTTGAGACAAGAGTTTTACTGTTGAACCCTGGCTGGCCTTGACCTCAGTTCTCCCTGCCTCTGACTCCAGAGTTCTGGGATTAAAGACTTGTGCCAACATACCCAGCCAAAATGCCGTAGTCTAACAAACACAAGCCCCACTCATTTCAGGAGAGCAAAGAAGGGGCTGGAGGGGTGGCTCAGTGGTTAAGAGCTTGTACTACTCTTGCAGAGGACCTGAGTTTAGATTTAACTCCAGTTCAGGGGGTCTGATGCCTGTGGCCTCTGTGGGTACAAATTAAAACAGTAGGAAAAGAACTTCGAAGAAAATGTAAAAAAAAGAGGGTAGTCTTTTCGGCAAGACACTGGAACAAATGGTTATCTGTATTTAAAAAAAAATAAATTCCAGTCTCATGCCACAAAAATTGATTCAGAAAGTATTATCCCCCTAACATAAAACCTAAAACCACAGGATGGAGGCCCACAGAACAGACTAGATTGGCTGGCCAGCAAGCCCAAGGGATCCTTCTAGCTCCTGAGCACTGGCATTACAAATGGACCTCCATTCAGGGCCTTTTTACTTGGTTTCTGGGGATGGAGCTCTGGTCTCCATAGTCTGCCAGTTAAGTTTTGTGAAGTCAGCATTCTGCCACCCTTAAATGTATACTTCACAGAAAGTTAAGAAACTAGAAACTAGAAACCTCCTGTTTTATTAACATCATTGGAGGACTCTGGTCCAAAAGTACTGAAACTCACTGCCATAAACAATTTCTTACTGACCTATCCCCCACCCTTGCCCCTATCGATCCAAGATATGCAGGAAATCCAGGTAGAAGCCACAAGGGAAATTCTTGGTAAATGAGCCTTACTTAAGTGTGATAGCTCTCTCTCATTTCATTTTTAGGTTAAGGATTAAACAAAATCATCTGAATGACCATGTTTATCTAAGGTTAACTCATCACAATAGACAGTGGTCAGACCACCTCAGGGACTCTGGATGGCCCCTTATTAATTTAAGTATCAGCAGTGCCCTCGAACTGAAAGTTTGAGAGAGAGAGAGAGTTAAGAAAGAAAAAAAAAAAACCACTGGAAAGCCTAAAATTAATTTCTACTTTCAAAAGGGTTAAAAAAAAAAAAAGAACCCAACACCACAAAGATACATGTTCAAGTTTTATTGGGTTTCCATACAAAACATTCCAAAAAGTAAGCCATAATACCTAAACTACATCCACTACCAAAATAAACCACACTCCTCTATTACTCAAATTCGTTTACAACCAGTATATAGCCAGAAGAATCAAGGACAGTTTTTTTCTAATTGTGTATTTTAGGCCTGTTGGGTCTGTAAACTTTACTATTTGTCAAAAAGTTTTTTTTGTAATTTTGACCTGCTCCTTACTTTGAATTTAGCTAGTATTCCCTACGCTAAACTGTCTTTAAGAAATCTAAATAAATGCTTGAGAGTCAAAAGGTCTTGACAGAAGCACCTACTCAAGGAATTATTAGAATATAGAAGGCTGGAGTTAAGATAGCTATTCAAGTACAACTACTGAAATTTGGTTAGGACCCTTGTCATCTGATGTCATCTGTGACCAATGGGGTTTACAAGTTCTGGATCATTTTTCCCCTAATCATAAACATTAAATGTAATAGGACTAAATGGCTTTGTAAGAAAAATCTCAGAAGTTGAGTTAAATCCTTTCGCCCTGCAACTCAACTTGTTTCCTTTGAGAACATCAACACTTACATTACTGGCTCTTAGCTTCCAAAGCAATAAACTAGAGTTGTATCATGATTTATTTCCAAGATTGAGACCTGAGGGTAAAGTACCTTTCTAAAACTACAGTGACCTGGTGACTGTCTTTGTTTCCACTATCTTAACAATGTTTCAGTTTTTACTTTCATTTTGTAGCATTGCTCCCCTCTTCTAAGTTTTATAGGACAAGTAAATGTTTTTTCCTGATCCGGTAATTCCCCAAATGGTTTATTTGCTGAAAATCAGAGACATCAGTGGATAAAGTTATCACGGAAGCATCAGTTTTCTGATTGAGGGTTCTTTTCTGTGTGTGGTGCCAGGGACTGAGCGCTAGGCTTCGCTCGTATTTAGGCAAGCACTTCACCGTGGTGTTACAGTCCCAGCTAATTCAATTTTCTTATAGTAAGTGATCGTCAGCTCTAAACTGCAGAGTTGCCTCATTATTTCACCCGAACTACTGAATCTATACAAAGAGCCACGAGAACTTCTTGGGTAGGTACCTCGACTTACCAATTTCTTTGTCTCCCTCTCCTCATTTGGTCAATTTTAAGGAATCACCACTCCCTAATTAATGTTTAACCAACACTGATGCCTCCCTCCCTTGAAGACAAAAAAGAAACAACCCTCTATTGCCTGTACCAAACCAATTCTGATGAGCACTGGGTATGTAACTGCTGCAGCTTAGTGTCAGCATTCCTCTGCTTCAACAACTCTGTAAAAAAAGCATGTGATCAAATTACAGAGAATTTTACACTGCAAAGCACTTCAATCCTCTCTCTTAAGTGCACACAACTTGGGTTTTCAGTTTAAGTATTAGCAATAAAGTGCCAGCTTCAAAATGCGGCCATATTCATTACAATTACTATAAGCATCAGCTTTGTAACAGTAAAATCACATACCCTGCCATATTGTGCTCATGAAATTCGGAAGTTGCAGTGGGAGCTGTATCACTAACTAGTCAATTGAAAATAAGCAAGCACTGACAGCATGCATGCAATTCATACAACGTTGCTCACATCGCAAACCGTTAACTAAACAGCTCTTTGCACAAGAACTCTTGCAGGCAAAGAGCTGTTAGTAACTATTTCAGAAACAGCTTACTGGTACTCTATTTAATCAAAATATAACTATATACCTTCACTTAAAATGGATGTGCTAGGTTTCTTTTTATGACAAAACAAATTCATTCTTATGTCCAGAGTTTAGCATTATCCCATGTTATAGACAAATTAAGGGTCAGAAAATACTTGCCAATACCATAGCCACACAATGACAAAGCTACAGTGTTTAAATCTTTGATGGACACTACTTTCAACTCTTACCTGAGCATTTGATTTTTTCATACTGCCAGCTTTCTCTACTGTGAATCAATCAGCACTCCATGACAGTATGACTGTTAGGTTCAACCTGCAAAAATTACATAAATGAAAACTAGTTATTTCTCTAAAGGAAGTTCTTTAATACTTGCCTATAACTGTCCTTTTTTTTTCCAGAGAGAACAGGCAAGTTCAGACTTGCAGCATAATGCATTATTTCATGTTCTACTACTTCTCTTAATTGGTGGAAGGTTCACTGGCTTGGGATGGACTGGAATGGCTTAAATGGTTAAGTCGCATGGCTTATGGATTCTCATTCTTTTCCAATGGTGCACTGCCACGTTAAATCCATAAGTTGAACTGACAAAACATTTGAAGGAATAAGTGCAGTCTAAGGATTTTTAGTTGGAGGTCTTCAAGTTTACTATATTCAAGAGCATCTTTTTCAACTTCATGGCTGGACCTGGGTCATGCTGCCTCAGGTTTTTGTTTTTTTAAAGACAACTTGCAATAGATTTTTTTCTCCATACAGTGTAGTTTCATAGAACTGAAACAAGTCAGGCATCCAACTAAATGTCAAGTTTGCAATGGCTTATAGGGGCCAGACGGGAGACCCCAATCCTAAGCCATTTTTTATATTGACTAAAAGACTAATTTGAAAAAAAAAGTCAAAACATGAAGCATGTTTAAAGGTCTTCATCAAAAATTTAAAAAAAAAAAACACCCCCTCCCAATTTCCAGATTGCTATTGATAAACAACAGCTGCATTAGTGCCTTTAAGTGCCACACATGCTTTAAAAAAAAATCCAAGTGTTGAATTTGGAGGACTTCTAATATGCTATTGAACATTTGTGGTTTTTTTCAAAAGTTTTTTTTTAAATCTAGAAGGCATTTCCATTGCCATGAAGTACAGTATGGTTCACTGTACTAGGAGGAAGGTAAGTGCTCAATTTCGACTTAGACGGAAAAACTAGTTTGCTTTGCTTACCATCTTTGCTGTTTCACAGGCATTTGGTGCTTTAAATCTGATGTGGAATGCTGATAGATTCACTTTTTAGAAGTCATAAGCCTTTAGGAAGTTGGAGATAACTTCATTGCTTATCTATTTTCTCCTTTGCAATCAAGCTGTTCCTTTAAAAGTGAGACACTACAGAGTTGCAAAAATTTGAAACAGTAAGAGCAAGCATCGTTTTGCAGCTTCATGGTTGGTTTTGGCCAAACTTTTTATTTAGTATTCTGTAGTTGTTTAACACACACTTAAATGGTCTTACTAAGGGAGGGGAAAAGGGAGGTCCTTGTAGATTCCCAAGGAAATGTCAGAAAAGCAAAATATGGCCTGCATCCATTTGCTTTTTGGGGTTTCTGGGTAAATAGCACATTCCTAGGAATCTGATCTCAGGTTTTTTTTTATACTGTGAGCATTGAGGTTTCACTTGGAAGACACCCTGAAATCATGAAATCCTAAGAGCAGCACACCCAACCAACCCTCTCTCATAGCACAGGCAGGGCGATTCATCGCTCAGTGGAGACCACAGGACATATAGATGGCTTAATGTTTGTGGAAGATCTTAGGATTGCTTTCCTCATTTACTGGGAAAAATCAGGAAGTGGCCTTCAGGGACATTTTTACTTGGAAAATTACAACACTAGTACAAGTCAAGGCTTACACATTTAACATTTGCTTGTTGAAAGCAACTCATAATATCAAATAAAATTAAACATGTCTTACTTTTTCCCTCACAAGAACATAAAAATTAAGAGGAACAGGAAATTTTAAAAAGGTAACACAATTTTTCCTTTTAGTAGTCCTTGGGAAGTTTATGACAGAAAGTTTCCATTTTTGTTTGTTTCTTTGAATGGGGATTTTTTGGTCCAAAAGTTTTGTTTGTTTCTAGTATCTGCTTCTGCCTCCCCCTCTATCAGATCGGCTTCCTCCACGGCCACCACCTCTTGGTGCTCCGCGGCTTGAACTGCTGTAGGAATCACGTGGAGGAGGGTACCCCCTTTCCATAGAAGGGGGAAGCCCTCGTTCTTGTCTGCCAACGCGATCACGACCACTTGAGTAGAGATCACTTCGGCTGCTTGAGTAACTGTCTCGACTTCCACCATATCCGTCACGTGAGCTGCTGTAATCATCATAGCGACTGCTTCCACCATAAGATGGCGGGGGCCCTCGTGTAGGTGGAGCACTACGTGAGTTACCTGCAGGGTCAATGGTCAGGTAATATGGCAACACTATAAATTGTATATATACAACAGTTAAATCTGAATTTACAGAATTCTTGTATTATAAGTTTACTTTCTCAACTGGGAAGTTTTAAACTCTACCATTGCTGGCCATAAAAGGGAATTGCTCATCTGCTGAAATACGGAAATGGATTGATTTTAATGTTTGTTTGAAAAGACTGAAGACGTTGTGTATTTCAAGAGGACATTCCAGACAGCTTGTTATTTTATAGTAGACACTCAGCCACTTTCCAGTGATAAGTTGCAATTTTGAACTGTTGAGTTTCCTTCATATTGCAATGGTAAATATTTGATCTTGTTAATAAAATTTTTAAATTGTATTTTCACTGTTGGGGGAAAACACATAAGGCTGCCAATTTAAGCAAGCAAAATCCCCTCCAAAGCAAGCGAACAGCCTCAAAAGAAAAGACACAAAAAACGAAACAAGGAAAGAACCAAAAAGCCCTTCACAAAACTAGGAAAAGCCCAGCTGATAAAGTTACCCCTTGAAAGCAAGCAAAGGTCCCTTGAAAAGCAAGCACCACGCAGCCTATTAATCCAGCTCATGAACCTAAAACCTCAAGCTGGTGATATTTAAGATCCTTAACCGGTATCTTACCATAACTCTCATATGAATCTCTGTAGGAACCTCCACTTGGATGATCTGAATAGTCACGATCCCGACCATATCCATCTCTATCACTAAATAAAAAGCAACTTTTTAATTAAAATATATATTTTCCCCCAAATTACATGTTTATTTCATAATATAAATGTAATACACTCTAAAAATTCCCAAATCCTTTAAAAATAAAAGTCTTAAATCTCTTCATTTTTTTTTAAGCTGTCCAATGGAAAATAAATTTTGTGAGGATGAGGAGACATGGGCATGCCATCATCCTGTAGAGGTCAAAAGACAACTTTGTGGAATCTCTTCTCCCCTTTCACCTTTACATGGGTTTCAAGGATGGAACTTGGGTTGCCAAACTTATTTGGGAGGTGCTTTTAACAGAGGAGCCATCCGCCAAGCCCTGGAGGCATGGAGTTTTACAGCAAATACTTAAAAGGAAAGCACAGAAGTAGCTACTTACCCATAGCCTCTTGATGGGTAGTCGTCACGTGAACTGGAATGACCATAATCACGGTAGGTATAATCTCTTGGTGGTGGTGCATAATCTCGGGTATCTCGAGAACTGGGGTAGTCCCTGCTTGAATAGCTACAGGAAGAGAATTTGCTTTATGCTTCTGATGTGCTCTCTTTCAACATAATTCTTCATGAAAGAAACTGCACTTTTCTGTTACCTGTCTTTAGTGGAATATCCATCATCTCTTGGGGACAAATAAACATCTCTGCGAGAGGGAAGGGGTTCCCTTCGTGGTGGGCCTCCATAGCTATCTCTTCCACGTGACACGGGGGCTTAAGGGAAAAAAATAACCGTCAAAATCTAGTCATCGAAAAGCTAAAGTGTGAACTTACACTCAGGCTAAAAAAAAAACAAACAAAAAACTGATTTAATCAAATATCATATGGAGCTAAAACAGAATGCTTCCTAGTCACATAATTTCACTGCTCATTAATTATAAATATGAGATTAATTGGAATCCCTAAATCAGTCTTTTTTTTTTTTTTTTTTTTTTTTTTTTTTTTTTTTTTTTGGTTTTGCGAGACAGGGTTTCTCTGTGTAGCTTTGTGCCTTTCCTGGAGCTCACTTGGTAGCCCGGGCTGGCCTCAAACTCACAAAGATCAGCCTGGCTCTGCCTCCCGAATGCTGGGATTAAAGGCGTGCGCCACCAATGCCCGGCTTTTTAAATCAATTTTAAGCATAAGCATTAAAAAGAACTTACTAATGTGTGTGTGTGTGTGGCATGAATCTTAGCAGGTCTTATTAATAAAATCAAACCTGAGGCCAGTTATTGGGGTGAATGCTGGAAAATCAGAGAAGCAGAACAAGCCGCAGCTACCTCACCTTGCCAATTCCTCAGCTGATCCTGTTTCCACATACTGGAAGCTTCTGTGTCCTCATCCAAATGGCTCTCAACTGAACTGCTGCTCCAAAGCCTGAAAGCTTAACCAGCCAAATGCTTCTAGTTTCTGGACTTCACGCCTTATATACCTTTCTGCTTTCTGTCATTACTCCCTGGGATTAAAGGCTCACTTTCTGGGATTAAAGGCGTGAGTCACCATGCTTGGCTATTTCCAGTGTAGCCTTGAACTCAGAGATCCATGCCTCCAGAAGGCTAGGATTAAAGGTGTGAGTGCCACCATTTTCTAGCCTCTGTATCTAGTGTCTATTCCATTCTCTGACCCCAGATAAATTTATTAGGGTGCACAATATTTTGGGGAACATAATACCACCGTGTGTGTGTGTGTGTGTGTGTGTGTGTGTGTGTGTGTGTGTGTGTAGTGGTGGGGGTGTGTGCATGCTATGATGCACATGAAGGTCAGAGGACAACTCTATAATCTCAGTTCTCTTTCCACTTTTGTTTGTGAATGGGGGATTGGATTCAAATTCTTGCACTTGAGAAGCAAATGCTTCACCCACTGAGCCATCTCGCTGGCCAAGCATTTAAAAAGAATAAAAAGAAAGAAAAAGAGTCTCCCTAGGTAGGTCTTGAACTCATGTCAATCCTATTTTCCTCTGTGCTACGACTGGACATGAACCAACCACCATGCCTAGCTTCAACCTAGTGTTATGGTAGCAGCAGAGATTGTAAAGCATGCAACAGTTACCTCTTCCCGCCATTCCACTGCTGCTACGAACTGGTCCTGAAGGTGCTGATCTTTTAGGAGGAGGACCCCCACTTCGTGGTGGTGGTCCTCTTTTTACTGGAAGAGGTCCCCTCGAAGAACTCATGGTAAAATTCATGGAATAGCCACCATCATCTATGTTAGAAAAGAAAGAAGATGCATCAACCCAATAATCAAGAAAAAAATTATAACACTCAAGAAAAAGACTAAGAAATATTTGCCTCAAGGAAAACAACACAAAGAATTAATTATGTGCGTCATGACCATTATCTTTTCTGCTTAGCTGAGGAGGCTAGGTTTGTTTTCCATTGAGCAAGAGTAAGCATGGCAAGAGTTCAGGACCAGCCCAAATTAACAACAGAGACCTTGTTTCTGAAATCCACAAGTCCTATAAACTGGGAAAACAATAGTCCTAGTCCTGAGCCATTTGGCCCATAGTTTTAACATTGTAATTTAATTTAGGCCTCCCATATTTTCTTCTCAAGTCATGAACACTACATTAATTGGGTGAGTAATCTCCATGTCAAAGGCAGCAGTTCTCAACCTGTGGGTTGTGATCCCAGGGGTGGAACAACCCTTTCATGGGGGTAGCCTATCAGATAGTCTGTATACCAGAGATTTACATTACAATCCATAACAGTAGCAAAATTATAGTTATAAAGTAGCAATGAAAGTAATTTTATGGTTGGGGGTCACCACAGCATGAGGAACTGTATTAAAGGGTCGCAGTATTAGGAAGGTTGAGAACCACTGCTTTAGCCTTTCAAAAAGAATGCATATACTGGTGTGGGTCTGCATCTTTTAACTTAAACACCAAGCCTGAGTTCCAATCAAATTACCCATGTGTCCTCCGCGTGAGGGTGGTCCTCTAGTTCCTCCACTTCCTCCTCTTCCTCCTCGAAGACCTCTGGGAGGACCTCTGCTTCTTGGAGGTGGAGGTAGTCCACGTCTACTAGTTTCAAATGATGGTTTGGTGGCTTGCTCCACCTTGATGGCTTTTCCATCTAAGGACTTTAAAAAAAATAAATTTTACCAAGACTGAAAAGAAACATAGAAACTCTTGTCAGGCATATAACCTTTAACATTAGCTACAAAATTTGGTTGTGGAATCACTATAAAATTCAGAATAGAGACTTGGTGTGGTCTTTTATTATGGCACTCTGGGGGCATAAGCAGGAGGATCTATCTCGGAGTTTGTCAGCCTGATCTATAATCAAGACCACATGGAGACCCCCTTCTTACTAAATAAAATAGAAAATATAATAAAATAAAATTCAGGATAGTACTACCAATGGCTATGATCAAAAGTCTCTGGATATACATACACAAAATAAAAATTCCAGAGCTGCTCTGGACCCAGACTTGGATAACACTTTAGTTATTTTTGTCACCAGAAAACCCCTTTATATTAAGCAGAAAATCATACCTTTCCATTCATATCTCTGGCAGCATCCTTTGCATCTGCTGGGCTTTCGAAAGTGACAAAAGCAAATCCTCTTGACTTGTTGGTTTCTCGGTCCTTCATCAAAAGCACTAAAACAGTTTGGGAGGGGGCGGTTACTTTTATTCAAACAAAAATAACCTGAGCACATTTACAGAAAGCAAGCTCAGAACTTCTTAGAGGACAAAATACGTTATCATGTCAGATGATCAGTGGATTCAAATTCATCACAGCTTGTCTTTTCATTACAGTAACACAGCATATAATTTTAGATAACTCACCTTCCACTATTCGTCCATATTTGCCAAATACTGCTTCAAGGGCTTTCTCATTTGTCTCTGTATTGAGCCCACCAATAAAGAGCTTTCCTGGGCGATCTGCTTCAACCATTTTTTCTTCCAGCCGATGGGAGTCTGCTGAAAAATAATATTATCTTTCTGGAGAAAGTTCCCCTAAGTTTACTGAACAGCTTAACTGTGGCTCCTGTTTTATTAAAATCTTTATTCTTTAGTAACTAAAGACTCTGATAACCCTCAAGAACAGTAGAAAACCAACTGAAATACTTTTGGTTAACAGTGCAGTGCAATTTTCATTAACCGGGTTAATAGAGTCTGCCTAATTTAGCAAACCTCTGCCCTGGCTGCTTTTAGTCAAAGAACAGCTATTCGACGTTTGAAAAGGCAACTTTTACTTTTAAATGTATTTTACTTTTTTGATACAAAGTTGCAGCCTTAAGAGTTCCGAAACTAACGAACTGGGCCACCACACCCGACTACTATATTGACCACTTTTAAACGTATTTTACTTTTTTTATTCAAGGTTGCAGCCTTAAGAGTGCAGGCGTTAACAGACTGGGGCACCACACCCGGCTATTGTATTGACCTGTTATCTTTTAAACATTCCGTTGCTATCAACCTTCTCGCTCCGCCGCTCCCCTGCAGCGAAGGGTATAAAAGACTTCCAATTCATTCAAGGTCATCAGTCAGAAGCACCAAGTAAAGACCAAGCCCTTTTCTGGCTTAGATTTCCTAGTAAGTTTAGGCACAAATCTTTAAGTTAGAACAAAATCGCCGCATCTAACCCAACAAAGATTGTTATCTGGTTGAAAAGATAAAAAGTGCCAAAGTCAGAAAATAGCGGAACTCAGAATCACACACTGTTCACACTCCTTCCCTGTGCCGGCACCTAATTAAGACTCATTAAAAACCGCGTGTTAAAGACAAAATGGCGACACTTGGATCCAACCCAGAACCACCAACAACCGCTGGGCTAACTAACTTTTGCATTGACACTGGCAGCGAAAACTCCCAAGGCTTCCTTTCTTTACCGCCAACGACCAGAGGAAGCCGCAGAGAAGTCAAGCAGCCCATCATTAGCATCGGCGCTGTCCTGGTGCTAGTCCTGTGGTCGCTCTGCGTCCCTCCCGCCCCACCTACAAAGCTGTGCGCTGCGCCCTCCGCCCTCCGGCGACAGCCAAACCTCCCGGAGACGCACGCAAGATAATGGACCCCCTAGTGTGCTGCTTCCACCCCTTCTGCTTTAAATAGGTTGACACCTTTGGGCGTCTTAAAATGGCGCCCGCCACCACTCTCTCCAGGGAAACAAATGATCTCCAGCCCTAACATGAGAAGACTGTACGGAAAACAGGTCAAGGAAAGGAGGCTCCTACCCGAGGGGACTGCGACGGTGTCAAGCTCCTGTGAGCTCGTAGACAGGACCTTCGCCGCTTCAGTGACAGCTGCCGATTCTTGAAACGGAACGAAATGACGCTAGGAATACTGCGCAACGAGGGCGAACAAAGGAGACAGCAATCTTTATACTACCCGGGAACGAGGCTGAAGAACCCGGATGGAAATTAAGCTTAGAATTTGAAGCACGAAGGGAGGGAGGGCAGTGGTTCCCAGACTCTTCATTGGCCATCTCCTATGTCATTCACTATTCGCTCCACCTCTTCGTGTCTCTTAAAGTTCTTGCCGGTGTACAATTTTTACTGTTTGCCCTACCCCCACCCATTCTCCTCCAAGGCGCCTTTTAGCTTTGTGCTAAAACTGCACCCTGATTTATTGAATACAAAAGTAAACTTACTGAGCAGCCTAGTAGGCCAAGCATGGTGCAAAAGTTTTACTTTTGCATAAAATCTTAATTCCAAAAGCAATGTGAAAATGGTAGAAGTACAATGCCAATGTTGTAGAAATAGCAAACAAGTTTAGTTGCTACCTATAACTCCCTAAATTTTCTTGAGCAATAACTAATAAATGGGAAGAATCTGGCAAGCAATTGTTAGGTGAAAACAACTTGAATAGCACAGAAAAATCATCCATACAAAATAATTACTGACTACCTATTAGATTCCTGTAACAACCATGAACAAGTAAGACTAGGCTAGGGCAGAGTTAAGACTGCCAAATAAAAATACACGATGATAGCCAGGGTGCTGGCCCACGCCTTTAATCTCAGGACTTGGAACGTTGAAGTAGGGCAGCTATGAAGCTATGAGTTCCAGAACAGCCTGGATTTGTTAGATGCTGTCTCAAAAAGAAAAGGCAAAACAAAACCAGGAAAAAATGCTACCAGTTATGTTTGAAGTTCAAGTGAGCATTCATACTTTGTTTCATGTTTTGAGGCTGGTCTTGGAACTCACAGCAGTCCTCCTGCCTCAAATTCTCAAGTACTGGGATTACAGGCATAAGCTACCATACCAGGTTCTGATTCTAAATTTTTATCTGCCCTGTGGAGGGAAAATTACATTTTTAAACCCTTTTGAGGCAGGGGAATTCTCCACCCACCACACACAGTGTTTCTCTCTATAGCCCTGGCTGTCCCGGCTCTGTAGACCAGGCTGGCCTTAATCTCAGAGATCTGCCTACCTCTCCCTCCCAAGTGCTGGGATTAAAGGCGAGTGCCAACACCGCCTGGCTAAGAGTTCTTATTAAATAGGAATAATTGTGAAGTGAGTAAATTGAAGCTCTCTTGAGCTTTTACATTTTTACATGAAGGGCACCTGTCAGTCATTCCAGCAATATCTATATTACAAAGCACAACATGTTTTTAAATCTATTGTCTTGACTTCCTTCTCTAGGATTGAAACTAGGAAAGATCAGAGGGAGGGAACCCAGACCCGGTAAGACAAATGTCTCATGTTCTCTCTCATCTGAGGTTCCTAACTCCAAATCTTCAGATGTGAGAACATAACCTGGGTTAGCTGCAGAAATCAAGTAAGTAATAATGGTATGATTTCGGAGGAGCAGGGTTGCATGAATCCTAAATGGTCTTAACAAAACCCAGAGCCATATCAGGGTGAAAGATCAGAGAAACAGAATAAGCCAAAGCCACCACCTCTTACCTCACCAACTCCTCAGCCTGGAGTGCTGAGTTCCTGTCTCCTCCCACCTTATATACCTTTTTCTCCCCAGCCATGTCATTTCCTGTTTCCACCTTTCCTAGTACTGGATTAAAGGTGTGTGATCCCAAGTGCTGGAATTAAATGAGTATGCCACCACTGCCTGGCTCCGTTTCTCTTTTAGACTGGATTAATCTCATATAGCCCAGTGTGGCTTTGAACTCACAGAAATCCAGACAATCTCTGCCTCCTGAGTGCTAGGATTAAAGGTGTGTGCCACAACTGCCTGACCTCTATGTCTATCTAGTGGCTGGCTCTGCCCTCTGATCTTCAGGCAATTTTTGTTGTTGTTGTTGTTGTTGTTTTTTCAAGACAGGGTTTCTCTGTGTAGCTTTGGTTCCTGTCCTGGATCTCTCTCTGTAGACCAGGCTGGCCTTGAACTCACAGAGATCTGCCTGCCTCTGCCTCCTGAGTGGAGGGATTAAAGGTGTGCAAATTTTATTTGTTCAAAATATCACCACAGAGCAGGGAGGGTGAGAGCAGAGAAGGGAATAGCAGGGTACAAGTGATATGATAGTAGAAATGGGGAGAAAGGTTCTCTAATTAGGGAGGGGAAATAACCTTGGAAGAAGGAAGGAGGAGGGTAAAAGAACAGTAAGGATGTCTGAAAAGGTCATAAGGAATCATAATATTAACTATTTACCTAAAATACCGATAATACGCCGGGCGGTGGTGGCACACGCCTTTAATCCCAGCACTCGGGAGGCAGAGCCAGGTGGATCTCTGTGAGTTCGAGGCCAGCCTGGGCTACCAAGTGAGTTCCAGGAAAGGCGCAAAGCTACACAGAGAAATCCTGTCTCGAGAAACCAAAAAAAAAAAAAAATACCTATAATACGAATAAAATGGTGTATGCATACAAATGAAATTTTCTCATCTGGCCTGACAATGCTCCCTCCAGGACCAACTCCTGGAGCTCTCATTTGAGTTGGTCAGGGTTGTCCAAGGACTCACAAAACATTATTGCTGAGCCGGGCGGTGGTGGTGCACGCCTTTAATCCCAGCACTCGGGAGGCAGAGGCAGGCAGATCTCTGTGAGTTCAAGGCCAGCCTGGTCTACAGAGTGAGTTCCAGGAAAGGTGCAAAGCTACACAGAGAAACTCTGTCTTGAAAAAAACAAAACAAACAAACAAAACATTATTGCTGTTGCCCTTGACTCAGAAGGTAAGTAAGTCCCCATGCTGAAGACACTTTGGGCACAGAACCTGGAGGACACAAGCTGGAATTGACCTGAATCTCTCCTCCCTGAGAACCAGCTATCCTGGCACCAGAAGGCACCATGCAAGTTTCTAAAGGAGGGACGCAACCAACCGTCCTTTTCAGCTATGATGCCTACTACCAAAACAAGCAATTTCCAACAATTTCTGAAACCACCCTAGCCATATTTCTGCCATTTTATATTACCTATTTATATGAAGCAGCATTCTCAGCACTGCCTTTCGCAAAGTAAAAATATTGATCAGCTCTGAAAATATCGAAGAAGCTCTATGTCCTCCAATATCAAATATTCAGCTGGGATTACATAAACCATATAATTTATTATCACTGAATGTTCTATTTATATACCTGTTTTATATACTTACTCTCTGTTAAAAAAAAACATTACTACATGGGAACTTTTTTTTTTTTTTTTGGTTTTTCGAGACAAGGTTTCTCTGTGTAGCTTTGCGCCTTTCCTGGGACTCACTTGGTAGTCCAGGCTGGCCTCGAACTCACAGAGATCCACCTGGCTCTGCCTCC